CGAGCTATACCAGCAAAAGGTTGGATCCATTTTGTTCGCAGCCATTTCAACAAGACCAGACATCGCATTCGCGGTCAGCCGATTAGCACGACATAACCTGAATCCAAGCGATGTACACCACAGAGCAGCGGATAGAGTGATCCAGTATCTCTACTCCACAAGGTCATATGCTATAAGACTTGGAAGAAATACTCAAAAGAGCAACAAACCAGCGGAAATTTTCATCGGCTCGAGTGACGCATCATTCGCCGACAATACAGAAGATCGAAAGAGCTCACAAGGCTACGTACTAAGGCTATACGGCGGACCGATTGCATGGAAGGCATCGAAGCAGACCACCGTAACAACCTCAAGTACAGAAGCTGAGCTACTTGCAGCTTCGGAAGCATCCAAAGAGATGATAGCTGCAGGAAGATTGTTCAAAGCTTTGAAAATTAAGCTAAATGAGCCTTTGCTACGATCCTTAGAAATTCAATTGGACGAGCCATTGCAATTGGAAATTGACAATAGACAGACGATTAGGCTGTTAGTTGAAGAGTCAGCCAAGTTGACCACCCAGCTTCGTCATGTTGATATTTACCAGCACTGGCTACGCCAACAAGTTCAAAATAGTCGAATTAGGGTGCGTTGGGTGGAATCGAAGGACATGGTAGCGGACGGGATGACGAAGGCGTTACCCAAGGTGCGACACATTGAATTCTTACGGCAATTGCAAATCGAAGATATTCGAAACCGCATTGGCAATGAAGCCAAGCTGGAAGAAGCTCGAAGCAAGGTGCACGAGAGATTTCAAAGCCCTGACAACAAATTAGACCTTGAAGTGAAGCTAGGTGCGAAGGGAGGCAAAAGAATGCCAAACCCGGGAGGCCCAGCTGCTAAAACGCGCTGACACTGAAGCTTGACAGAGGCAATAAATAGTTGTAGATGAGCACTTGGGAAGGAGCTCATCTAAGGGGGTGTGTCGGATAATGCCTCTGTAGACTGAAGTCGCAGAGCTTGGTGTAATTGCTGGATGTCATAGCGTCGGCTATCATGACTAAACTTAGCCGAAAGATTCGGACGAAAGGAAGTTTTTTGGTATTAAAAGAGAGCTGCAGACGGAGTCTGCAGCACTCGCAACAACAAGAATAATGATTTTATCAAGAAGCTTAGTTAACATGAGTCTCATAACGTGACAAATAGACGTTGGGCTTGCTTCTTCCACAATATGGATCACGGAGAACATCGTCAATTTGTCGCCCAATTTTTGTATTTCAATTGTTGCCAAATCGTGAAGGGCTGAGAGTCCATATGATTCAGCAACACCAGCTACATGAAGTGCCGTTGCAAACTCGGACGCATGTCTCTCATTCATGGATTCTCCCCTGGGTTTGAGGCCGTTATACTGCCCAGTTATCAAGAAATGGACAAGAACATGGCCGGTGTCTAGAGTGACATCGTCGAAACGAATGGTACGAGGCGGCGACCCAAAAACTGTCGTTGGCCTGCATTTTGAAGCGAGCTTTGTACTGCTATTTAGAAAGCTCTGGTGAATGTGCAGTGGCCCTTCGTTTTGGAAGTAAAGGGAGAAGGTATCGCTGGCAAACGGGCTGCCGTCGCTGTTAATATCATGGCACAAAGGGTGAATTCATAGACTGACGAGCGCTCTGGTCTTGTGTCCACTTCGTGGTCGGCGAAGCCCGGCTCAGGGATCTGTACGAGCCCCGACACCTCTTTTCTAGCCATTGGTTTCGGATCAGTAAAGGCGTCGGCAAACCCCCCGGGTGCTTCAGAAGCTGCTACTTTACCATGGAAGCAAGAGTCACTATTCTTGTAAGAAGCAGAAGGTTGTGGTTCTAATAAATGAGGCACTCCCCTTGATCGTGAACTGATGCCCCAATTTGCCATTTCATTCACTTGGCACCCAAGCGCGCCGCCCCGGACGTGCAAGATGAGGGACGTCGGCGGATTGGATGACTGCCTTGGTGCATATGATACATCATTTGAACCCTGACGCGGTTGCTTCTGTAGGTTTATGGAATGCTACGCTACGGCCAGGAGACACGACCCCGGAGGTTGTACCTCTAACCTATCTATGGGCTCCCCTACGTGACGCCAGAAGGAGGCCCAGGTTCGGGAACGCGGGAGCTGTGGAGACTCTTGTTGACGTGGCCAGCCTCGCGCCAGTGCTTATAAGCAAATCCTCATACTGAAGTTTCGTAATATTTGTTAGATTGACGCCGAGGAGTGCCTTATCGGAATCTAGTCAATTCTCGAGGGCGAGTTCTAGTTATAACGATATGATGTGTGGCTGAGGATTTCGCGGGTTGGGCAGCAGCCCAACCCCGCTCCCACAACAATAATACAAACACAAGATTGAATCGATAAGATTATGAATTAATCATTATTATACGTAACCCATCGTGAATCAGAATAACCCGGGTGTATCTTGAATAATCGGGTATGTGAAGCCCAGAAACTCTTTCTTCTTTAGCGGGGACCCTCAACTTGTCGGATAAAACTGCCTCTGTTGATAGAACAAGCAAACTTGGTGTAATTTCCATCTGTCATAATGTCGGTTATCATGACTCAAGTTAGGCGAAAAACAGATTCGGACGAAAGGAAGTTTTTGATATTAAATAGACAGCTGCAGACGGAGTCTGCAGCACTCGGAACAACAAAAACAGTAATTTATATTCAAGAAAATAAGCTTAGTTAACAATGAGTCTCATAACGTGACACAACTCTGCGCCACTTAGATATCGAGATCACCATAATATCCACCTTTTGTTTCAGAAAGGTTGCTCCTTGCGGTTCCGTGCATTGGGTCATTTCTTGCTGGTCATTGGGACGGCGCTACTTGCTCAATTCAATTCAAGTGGATTAGTGAGGCGGATGGATGGAAGGCGACTGATACATGGGCGCCCGGGCGCCCATTCATAGGTATTTGACGTTTTCAATGACAACCCGATAAAATACATGTGAAAAGTTACAAAAAAGCTATTCTGGGATATATATCCACACAATACATATGGTAGTAGGTTTTTTTTACAGTTTTGAATTTTTATTTATTATATTTGGGTGTTTAAAGCTGTCATATTTATATTCGGGCGCCCGGGCGCGCGACTTTTGGGAAATCATGACTAAGCGTCTGGCTTGATAACCTAAGACTCTTCAAATTTGCCATATGCTTGGATATTAATAGTTTGAGAATATAGATATAGTTCTTTACATGCTGTGGAAACTTTTATCGAATTTTAAGCTATTTTTGTTGATTTTATAGAAGGTAAAACATAAAGAACTCTAATTGGCCGCCCGGGCGTCCATGTATCAGTCGCCTGAATGGAAGTATGGTGGTAACAAGAGGCTTCCCCACCCGCATCACAACACCTTCCAAGTTCTTGTGTCAACCAACTGTCGGATAAGGCTGCCTCTGTTAGTTGAACAAGCAGACTTGACGTAATTGCTAGATGTCATAAAATCATCGATATCAGTAGTTCAGAGGCTGGCCAGCCACCCTGATTTCATCAGGTGGCTGGGAAGTCTTCTAAACTAAAGATAAAAGACATGAACCCTTCTGAAGGATAGAAAAGAAAACAACAATAATTTATATTCAAGAAATAAGCTTAGTTAACAATGAGTCTCATAACGTGACACCAACAGACACACTCAAGTCATCTATTGCATCGGCGTTAGCCTAGTGCATCTCAACAGCTCAGCCGTTTACACAGAAGGCATTTGATGCGAGGAAACGGACGATAACTATCTGCAGCGGCAAAAACAGCTCGGAAATCAGGAATGCTTGGAGATATAAAGTCAGCTGTAGTTTGTTGGGCTGGCATCTTACCCAGAGCAAAGAGGCAATTCTAAGGTATTATGGTGAGGACTTCCACGTTTTTCTCAATATACCAATAATATTGAGGAACCTCAAAAAACTGAAGAGGAAGTAAATCTCGCCAACGGGCATCCCTGTCAAACCTGCACTACTCAGTAATGCAGGTCAATCAAGCGACCTGTACGGCGCTGTCTCATTGTGTACTCTGCCCTGGTGCGTCAAGGTAGGGTAGAGAACGACCGACGTGATACCCGCCCCGACACAAATTTGGCAAGGCGAAATGGACATTTCGCTTCTGCTATTACCACCATAATTGAAGGAGGCGGTGGATTGTCTTGGAGTGTGACAGAGAGATCATCTGGCGGCAGGAGCTGACCCGGCTACACACGCAGTTCCGATGCGCATGATTTCAGTATTGCTGGCGATTGACGAACGAGGGCACGTTGGAGCGGCCGAAGAACGATGTCAATATACGAGTGAAATGAACAATGTATGGTATGAATACCATGTGGGTGTTAGACGGGCTTTAATTGCTTATCGTAATGTAAGTTTGGGGTTTGGTCGCTCAAATCGACGAAGTGGTAAGCTTCGTGATTGTTTTCTCGGCTGATTCATCTAGCAATATCCATATCAGAACGATGGGAGGCCTTTGCGAATGGAAGGCCTAGCAGCCGCGCATCCGGATCGGAAAGCATACCTGTGGAACATGACTCTTGCCATGAGTCACAACTTTCACTCCGGTGTTCGGGCTCTATCTAATTTAAATCCAGAAAGCGAGGCTCGATACATGAGGCTTAAACAAAAAGCGAGAGAAAGGGGTCGGGCCGATCTTGTTTACCAATGTCGACCTCAAGGCTCGTGTGCATGACATTGATTATTGAAGCGCCATCTTCATCCACGCGACCGTACTGGTATAATTGGAGGACTTGAGAACTCCCGATTGGCTGTAACTATGTTTTCGTTTTATTTTCTTTTGGTGGAGAGACGGGGAAGGGGCGCTCCCTCATAATAGCCGCAACTAGGAGAAAACGGGTCACAGCATTCACGTGGTTCGCTCGTATGGGTGGAGTATGCTCAAGACATCAATTCGTTGAAGCCACAGAGCAAAAGCTTTTCCATGTCTGTTGAGTGTGACCAGCAATCGGGGGTTGGTCGCCGCTTCGGATCATGCCAGCGAACTAGGCGCGCAGCAGCTTATGCACATGTTGTGTGACAGCTCCTCAGCATCCCGCAGCTGCTTCAGTAACGTTGGACAGATGTACATGGAACACTTGTGTCGGCGGAATTCAGAGACACACACCCGCAAGATCGGTGAGTCAGTCAAGTCGTGCCAGAATGGGCGTCGGGACTACTAATGACCGGTCACTGGCAAGTTGCGCTTGTCTAGAGTCAACGATGCACTGTTGTTCTCTCAACGATGCAAGCTTCAGCGGAAACAACAGCGCGAAATCAGTGGTGTTAACATTTAAACCAGACTGCGGTCTCGACACTCCCCTTTCTGCAAAACCTCAAATTCCAGTCCTTGTTGAGACACTTCTGCCCCCCACACAATCGACGTAGAGGGCTTTCAAAAAAAAATAATAATATAAAAAAAAATGAAAGAGAAAAGAGAGAGTCAATCATGCGTGCATAACATCGCCGACTCAAGCGCCGAGACACCAGCTCTTCTGCGAGAAGACCCAACCGCGACATGCAACGAGGATCGACCATAGAAATTTCGGTAAATTCGTTAAGCTAGATTGGCTACGTATCTGTATCCGAGGTTTCTGGCGGCCAAAGATGTAACAGTGCTTGATCTCGACGAAACGTCCCGTAGCATCTGTTACCCTGTTACTACATGTATTCCTCCGCAACCGTGAAGTTCACTTAGCATCTGTACACCCATTACTGGATGACTACTGAAGATGAGGTGGTTACGACTAGCTTGACTTACCGGGCGAGCGTCCAAGTAGCTTGAGACACGTTATATGGTTTTTTGCAAAGTGTGCAACGTTGGGTTGCAGAATTCACCCAAGATTTAGCAGCATGTCTTTTTTTTGGGGGGGGATCACGTTCAGAGGTTAGTTAGGTGGTTGGGCAGGAGTGCACTTTAGCTTCTCGAGAGGACTAGTGAACGCATCAGGCCTCCTCCATTGAGCCGAACGTTGCACGCATCCTAGACAAGGAGTCGGGCCATTTGTCCCTAAATCTAAAGGCTGCAACCCTTTCTACAAATGGCATCACTTAAGAACCAGACGTGCGTGTTTTTGCCAACATGCAAAGACCACCCGGCTGAAAAAAAAATGAGTTTCGACTGCATTGCATGCGACCGTTCTTTCGGCAGCGAAGAGGCCCTGGAGCAGCACCTACGAGGCGCGCCAGTGCATGCTCCATCGTTCGAGTGTAGTACTTGCGACCGGTCATTTGGCAGCGAAGAGGCCCTGGCGCAGCACCTTCGTGATTCCCGAGCTCATACGCAAGCCGCTGAAACTCCTTTGGATATTTTTTTCCGGAGTTTCCCGGACTTTGACTATAATCCTTCTCTACCACCGGCTACGACATACGCTTATCTCCGGCAGCATGAAGGTTGGCGACGTGGCGACGTTGATTCAACAGATGCTTGGGACAGATATCAAGATGCACTCGAAAGCGAGCTGCGCATGTGGTACGGATCTGAGGACGATTTGACTGCGTGGCATGCACTCTGTCGCGCTATCGGTATTAATCCGCTTCCGAAGGCATGCAAGCATTGTGAAGAGGTTTGAGCCCGACATAAGCACTACTTTACCTATCCATGTTAACTTGCTGTATAGGCTGTCCGAAGAACGCACGTTAATATTATTGATTTGATTGAGTGGGGACGGAAACGTGGAAATGCCGACCACGAAGTTCGAACATTTGAGACTGAGGCAGAGCTACGAGCTTATACTCAAAGGACAGCCAAAATATTCCGCAACACATGGCATCAAGAAGATAGCAATGTTGTCATGAGACATCTACTTCGAAAGATTTTTCGATGTAGCTTGTAAAATTGAAGAGCGAATGTTCCCCAGAACAACAGGCATCGTATTTTGCAGGACTCAGTACCCCGTCAGTGACCAAATCCGAGGCAATAATTTCTACGTCGCGCTGTTGGCTTGTTGCCTGCTGTGTAACCCCAAGTGGTGCTGATTTTCGTATCTCGTATGACGTGGCTGATTGTTAGCTTTCGAATTCAAGCGATTTGCCTGGCATTGTAATCATCTCGGGCAGCAATGCATCTGCTTCGCGTACCAAACGGTATCTTCGATTTCTGTGGTGGCGAAAACTGCTATGTTTAGATGGTCACTACTTTGACGGGTTATGAACTCTTCTCCTAAACGCTCTTCTCAGAGGTATGCTACACACCAAGTTAGGAGATCTCTCCAGACTGTGGCTGTTGGTCATCATTCATGTCAATCGAATGCTCACGTATCTTGGATTGAGGGGGAGACAACGAGAAAATAGTGGCTTGCAGCTTCCGGCGCAGGATCAGGCTTGGTCAATCTGTGCATGTATGTATGAGTTGTAACCGATTATTGGTTGACTCAAAAACTCTCGGTGTCCCTTGTCCGGTCAGAATTCTCTCACATCCTTGCCAAGGCTGCTGCCGCAGTCCATCCTCCAGTAACCAAGAAATGGAAATGACGCAGCAGCGACGGTATAGAAAAACCCTCCGAATGAATCAGAGGCTGTCTGGCAGCTTGCCTTCAGAGAGAAAAAACAACCACCGTGACCGGCACACAGTGTCTAGAAGGGCGACCTTCCAATTACATACAGCTCCTTGGTTCCGAAGCGAACTGCAGGCTGAAGTCATCCTCTGTGCTGTTAGTGCCAAGGTGGGCCAAAAGCATAAAGCGTGGTCGAGGGCCCTGAAAAACTGATTCCACTAGCAAGCTGCTAACAGCTGCGAGGTCGGGAGAATTTTACAGGGGAGAATTGTTCTGCACAGACCACGGTTGCAAAGCCGCCCCTTAAGGGTATGTCGTTCCCTCTTGTTAAACGAAGCCTCTTACACTTACAACCCGCACTACTGTCTCAAGGATGGGCTCTCCGGCTTTCAGGCGATTTCCAGATCCATTTTCCAATCCAGCTCCAACCCCAGCGAGCTTCGACTACATCAATGAGGGCCAGGATCTGGCAGAAAGTAGCAAAGGCAGTCGCCTGCTGAATCTCCCCGTCGAGATCCTATCAAAAGTCATTGAAAACTTTGATCCTATCGCCGATCAGGAGAGCCTTGCATGCCTTGCCCTGGTTAACCGAGACTGTGGTCAGCTGGCTCGGTCTTGCCAGTTCCGCTCCGTAAAGCTCGACTTCAGCAGCCGCGCGACCTCCCTCGCCGGTGTTCTATTCCGAGAAGCTGTAGAGAGGTCGAGACACCACGGTCGTACGCGGCTCCCCTCGCTTGGCGCATGCGTCCGCCATGTCAGGGCCAGCAATATGTATTTCTGGAGGCAGGTGGATGCTTTAAAAGCTGGCCCCTTCAGCAGAGACGGCAACCATGAAGACGACCGCGAGCCCATGACGGACCTGCAGTTCCAGTAGTGGCGCGACAATGTTTCGAATCTTAGCCAGCGGAACGCAGACATCTACGAACCCAGTATGCTCTTCGCCATCTCAACATTGCCGCATCTTGATATCTTGGATATGCACGAGCTCACTGTCAACCAATACGTCCTTGATTCCCTGACCGCCTCGGCGTGCAGACACCTCCGTGTGAAGCTTTCCATCGAAGACATGGGCATTCGGATTCCAGCTCTAGTTTGGCCGCTAGAGACACTCAGTCTCGATGTTAGCTGGAACTTTACTACATGGTGCCACTCGAAAAGCAGCAACATGGATGCATCCTTCCTATGGGAGATCCTTTTGCGAATGTGCTCCCAGAGCCTGCAAACTCTGCGAATGGGGCACCAGGCGCTTTACGGTAAACCGATGAAACCGATCTCGTTTACCTTAAAGTTCCCACGGCTCCGATTTCTCGAGATCGCGTGCGACCTGCATTCGTCGGCGCTTCAAAGTCTCCTTACCAACAGCTTGGAGGCGCTCTTCGTGGATTATAGCACCCCGGCTACGAGGAATTACCTAGACGGCAGGGCCAGATTCGGGATCTCAGCCTTCTCGTCTGGACAGGCTTTGAGATTCCAGACGATGCATCTATCCGGATGCTATCGAACAACCATCAGCGAATCACCGCTTTCGGCACGCAATACGCTCAGTCGGCTGCGTTTCTAGACAGGGTCCTTCCCGTGCTCGCAGACTTCGACCACTTAACAGTCCTCTCAATGGTCTGGGACGGAACCGAAATCCCGGAATCTTCCTCGCATCTGCTTGCTTTCCTGGTCTCTCTCAAGCACCTGCATATAAGCGCTGGCAATCAGTCGGGTTGGAGACGTAATTGGGAGATTAGCCACGACTCTCTGTGTTCTGTCTTGTCACCTCTTGAAAGGCTGAAGAGCCTGTTGTTTACCCGAGACTCGTACGCGAGAGACTGGGGTCCACCTGTATTCCAGCTCAACCCGGATTCAGACTACTATCACACTATCGGCTTTTCGTGGAGCAGCCATATTACGACGATGAGTCGGTACGTTACTGCATACTCCAGTGTCTTTTCCAACCTGCAGTTCATGTTTTTAGGGCAAGTTCCCTTCAATATCGACCCGGGTACTTCGATTGATGGACCGAGAAATGAGAACTTCGAAGCGGGGAAATACTTGTTTGGGATTTGAATATCGGGGGATGCTCGGAAGTTTGTCGTGGCTCGCAAGTACGTGTTCGGCAAATCCACTGCAGGGGCTAGTCCTCAGTGGACGCGCACCTTTCTAGAGCACCTTGGGCTACGCTAAATGAAAAGGCCTGGTGGGAATGTTCGTGAAGGAACTGGGAACCCAGCCGAATCTATAAGGGATAACCAGGATGGACGAGCTTGCGTGGCACCGTATCGCAATAAGGAGACGCCGGTTTGCATTCGCGAAGAGAGCCTCCCATCCCGTCCGGCACATCCAGTTGCTCACGAGGATGGGCGACAGCGGCTCCCTGGCCGTACGAGCGCTGGGTCGTGCAGATGGCTGGAGCGGCGAAGACAATGACGCACTGGTGAGGCGCTGTAGCTCGGCGGCACAGATGGCTTCGGCTTGCCTGTCTAACTCGGCGTCCTTCACAGCCAGGAGAGCCAGGGTAGGCTTTTCTACGGCAGAGGCGGACACGCGCCAGGCGGCAAGGATGTCACCGGGAAGCCAGCTCTGAAAGAGGATATTGTCCTGAATGTGATCTCGCAGCCCGTCCTGAATGTGGTCTCGCAGCCAGTACCCGGATGACCTCCTTGCCATGACCTCGCGGCGGTGCTCCTTCTTTAGGTGTCGAGATAAGAGATCATAGCTTGTGGAGCGGAAACGGTAGTAGGAGCATGCAGCAGCTCTCTGCAAGGCCAAGTGCGGGTGCTGCAGACAACCGCCTTGCCTAGGCGGCAGCTGGCGAGGACCTGGGAGCTGTAGCGAGTTGATCAGCTTGTTAGGCCCCATCTCGTCTTCCTCGAAAGGCCATGCTTCTCCCCGAGGTGCCGAGACACACGGTCGCCATCGGCCTTTAAGGCGAAGCCACACTCTATACAGATAGTAGCCGGTTCTGGTTGATACAGGTAGAGGTCGAGTAATGCAATGCGTTGTGCTTCCTCTGGTTGTAACTGCCGGCATATCTGGGGCACCGGCTGTGGGCCGCAGGGTCTTCCCATAGTGTCAGATGGGTTCAATGCCTTTTAAAGAGGGCAAAGGAAGAAAAAGGAGAAGTCATGTATGTATGGTAGTGTACTCTAGTCCTATTCCCGGACGCGCGGCACTATACTCGGACGCGTGCAAACCTTACAGGCCCGGCATGGCAGTGTAATGTGATTGGCTGCATGGGACAATCTGGGAACGGGCCCCGTTTCGAGAGATTTGGGACGCGTCTTGCGAAGCGCAGGGAATATTGGGCAGGAACGGGGCCCGTTTACGTGAGTGATTTGAACAGGGGTGGGGGTACGGTGGTGATTGGCTGAGAAGTCGGAACGGGCCCCGTTACGGTAGACACTAATTGAGTAGAGCTAGGCTAACCGCTAGACACTAGTCTTGTTTACTTGGTCCTTAGCCTACAATTGGCAAGGAATATGGAAGAAATAAATAATGCTAATGTAGAATTAAATATCTATATCTAGCGCACATAAGGACAAGTTTCCACTTCTGTAATGTGTTGTGAATTACTAATTTACCGCCCAAATCCTATTAACACC